CTCTTCATCATGCTGCTAATGGAAGCTCAAGAAGTAGCTCAAACTGCTTGGTTTCAGGGCAGGATGCCAGTTCTGCTGATACTTATTTTGCTGCTGCTGTAGTCGTTATCTTCACAGTACATTTCTGCCTTTTTAATGATTATGAGGTGCCTGTTGCCTAGCCAGTCCTCAAAATAGTCAAGGCAAGAAGAGCAAATTCAGAGCCTAGTTGTGCAGAACTAAAACTTTTCTGGAAAGAACTATTTTCTTCTTAAGAACAGTATAAAAGGACAGTTAATATTTTGCCTTGATGTGTTGTGAGTTTTTTTTTTTAAATAGAGAACTCACCTTTCACCTTTTTGTAGCTACTACTTGATTGCCTGGAAATTTCAGGTATGGGGTGCCTAATATCAGTCCAGAAGTGTAGATGTTTCTCTCCTACATCTGAAACAACCCGAAACCCAGCTAGCTGTCATACTTCATAGACCTGCAAGCTACAAAATCAACAACTTATCTGCAGGCTGTCCCTGACCTCTGAAGAGTCAATCACAGTGTCAAGTCAAATCAATTACAGGAACTGGTCTCATTTTTACAGCACAAAAGGTGCCTGAATTTTATTACCACATCCTTGAGTCCCATACAGAAACGTTTCCCAGAGACTTTTATTCCCTTCACTGGTCTCATATGCTGTTGCTCTTACGGCCTTTCCACAATTAATACTGAACATGAACAGCTATGTAGTTACCTCTTGTAATTTTATATCGTTGCCTTGGTTCTTAGGACGTTTACTGCTTAACTTCAAGAAAGCAATACAGGACAGATTAACACAGCAGTAGTACAGAAGGTGGAGATACTGAGGAGATATGGACAGAGCTGAGGACAATACTTTCTGGACACCAAGGTTTCAGTCTTGGCTGAGAGCAAGAAAGCTCACCAGGAGATAGCCCAAAGACTTGAAAGATCTACTGCAGTAGCTGTAGAAATTACAGATTCGGGAGAGACCAATATGCACGTACCTAACCTTTTAAAGTTGGTCAGGTAATGGCCATCACAAAGTCCACAGTCCTTACACCACAGCTCATTAAAAACATGCTGCTCAAAGACTCTCCACATAACAATGGCTAGAGGTACTTAAAAGCAAAACCTGAAACCAAACGGGTCAAAGCAGGACATCACCCACAGGATGTTACAGCCACAGAATTGCTGCCCCAAGGCTGCAAGCCCTACAGGGAACCTCATTTAGGAGGCAAGAAGTTAAGCTGGTCTTACTGCTTTAAAATGCATTAGTAGGGATTTTGAGTGTGAAACCTTCATTCTCAAGAGCATCTCCTTTTTGATTCCTTTGGTGTGAATTTTCATTTAGTCAGTATTTGACTAAATAGGCAAAAACACCCTGAAGGTCTTCATGCAAAGATCCCTTCACATAGGAAAAAAGACTTCCAGTGACCTGAGAGCCTGTACTCCAAATAAGCAAAAAAAATATGCTGAATAGGACCTAACTAGCAACAGAATTTCAAAGGCATACAAATGAAGACAAGCTATTTCTGGCAGCTGTAAGAGTACTTCATTTTTTTCAAAAATCCAGATACTGCTTCCCCAGAAAACTTCATGGGAGGAAGCATTCTCAGCACTGTGATACCCTATCAAAAGCAGTGCTGTAAGATGTTCTGAAGGTAACTCCTGTTCCTGCTGCTGTGCTTTTTACATGATGTGGTTTATAAACTGTAGAACAGGAAGAGGGGGGAGAATTCCCACAAACCAAACTTCTTGTTAGCAATAGCAAAGAGGTGACAGTACACTGCAGCTGTGTTTTCTCCTCTCCAGTGATCTTCAGATATTTGAAAACATAACCTTTACTTCCCACTCAACTTGCCAGTTTCAAAACAAAGCCTGAGCATTTGTCCTACTTCAGTTTACTCATCTCTTAGCTTTTCACTACGCAGTGACTGAACCTCACCTTAGGACAGACTAATGGCTCTCCACCTGCAACCCTAAAGCTGCACATTGCAGAGACGATACTCCTTTGGTTACAAGGAAATCCAATCCCAAGTAAAACAGTGCTGTGGAGGTATCAATCTGTGAGAAGGCTGAAGCTCAGAGGTGCCAAAGGTAAGAGCATGCATCAGTAACCTAAGTTTCCACCTCTGACATAGCTCCAACAATAAAGCTGGCCTAGCTCTGGGTCCTTAACTGGACTCCACTTATTGCTGTTTTCTTAGGGTAAGAGTCAAAATCAAGATCAGTGTTAGGACAGCTTCAAATAGTAATAATAAAAAAGTTATTGAGCCTCTCCTAGCTTTACACATCTTACAATCCATGCAACATTCATGTTTCACTTTTTTTTTAAATGGAGATGGGTCATAATTGCCAAGTAGCATTCAAATACAAATGAGAATCTCCTCAGGAAATTCCCAGGCAAAGTGCTGGAAAGGATCTCTGTCCTCTCCTGTTTCTTACACTGGTCATCCTCAAACAGAATACTGAGCAAGGCAGATTTTGTCTCACTCAATACAGCCATTATTCCGAGCATAAAATACTACTTTGTCCTCCAGAGCCTGCAGGAAGTTTGAAACAATGGCTGAGGAGCACTGTCTTCATAGCTCTGATAGCCTAACTGGATTAACAACTAAAAACACATTTGAAAAAATGGAATTAATTTGCTTTCCTTAGATATAAATTAAACCTACTCATAATACTGGTTCTAATATGTAGAATGTGAATCACTGGCCATACACAGCACATAAAAGCTTCCACCTGCACTCGACTCACCTGGAAGTAACATTCACCTGCCAACTTCATTCACCCTCCAAAATACAACTCAAATGCTGTCCTCTCAACTGTGGGAAGTGGTATACAGGAAAAATTATTAGCCCAAACTCAGGGTTAAATGCTCTCCGACTGAGAATTCCTTTCTGTGGGCAAAGTTTAGCACTGCTCAGTCTGCTGTGACACTTCTATTGTCTTAAGTGAATGAGACACTACATGTATCTTCCCAAACCTGTTGAGCTTCTACCTTTGGAACTTATCACCTACCAAGTATTAATTTCATCATCCATCTTAATCAGTAAAACTCACAACCAAGGTTTATACAGCACATTTGTACTAAGAGCCTGTCTGAAAGAAGGCAGCAGCCCCACTGAAGCTGTTACACCAGGTGAAGCCCAGGCAGCACACCTCACAGCAGGCTGGTAGCTTTGACACTACACTGAGATTTCACTAGAATTTGTTCCTTCAGTGTTTTCAACTCACTTTGCAGTGTGGGTGCTATGCAAAGGTATCTGCAGCTACCTCAACTTTGCTCACTCTGAGCTCCATATGATCCATCTCCACAGGCAAGACAAATTCTCCAGACAAAATCTCCCACCTTAACAGCGACCTTATCACTTTCATGGTAGCAAGGCATTCATGCACAGCCACTCCTGCATCTTCATTGAATTTGCTCCTCGTTTTCATGTCTAAGCACTCAGGAGAATGCTGATACTTTTGCCCAGTTACTAAGACACAGCAATATTCCAGAACAAAGTTTGTCTAACCACTGCTTTCTTGGATCACAGCCCAACGCTCACGTGACACTGAAGTTCAACCCCAGAGATGGTTAATGCAAGATTTTACCAGCTATTTAAAGCATAAAAAGCTGAAGTGCTTTCACATTGTTTACCGCAGAATCCTGAAGTCAAAGCTTTATATACAAGCATGATTACTTTATAGAACATCAGTGTACCTTTGCACATAGAAATGTCAGCATGTGATGAGTTTGGAATACATGGCATAACTAGACAAACACAAACTGAGATAAGGGTATGTATCCTATCAGTCAAAACCACCACACCAGAACTAGACCCACAAGTGGTTCGCAAACATTATTCCCTCCATTTCTGAACAGAAAAGCTACTTCAACTATTTTTCTTTCCATCTCAACATTAATAATGTTAGTTTCCTACACTTTCTATGCTAGTCATATTCTGAAACCTCAAAAGGTAGAGCCTCATGATTACATTTGTTCATTTTTATTAACACCAGAATTTCTATACTGCTAATGCTCATTTTTCCTTGGTTACCTGTGCATGCATTTATAGTGAAATATATATATAATATATATATAAATATATATGTGCTGTGCGAGCATTTATAGTGAAAGGTTTGCAGCTAACAGCCAATAGGCTCATCACAGACCACATCCACCTTTTCCTACACCAAGTGCACATCTTTCTCATGATCAAACACTGTTCACTGACAGGCTTCCACCATCTGATGCACAGATGCAGCATGATTCCCTGCAACCCTTTGCCTAATACTGCCAATTCTAGATCAGAGAACATCTAAGGAATGTTTTGGAAGATTTAGATTGATGTGAAGTTACTTTTGAGTACCTGAAGCATTACTCACAATCCTCAAACTCTCTCATCTTCTGAGCACAGAAGAGCAACACATCCCCACCTGATTTTACTGGATATACACAGCGCAGAAATCTTCTCAAAAGCTTCTGTGATACTAGCGTCATTAGCTTCAGCCAAAAAGACTTTGCACTCCAAAAACATACCATAGAAATCCACTTCTTACCCTCCAACGTTATGTGAGTTATGGACAGATCCTTTCAGAGTATCTAACATGCTACTTACCAAAATGTTGCTGCTGTATTACCCATTTTTCTGGTCTTCAACATCTTCCTTCTCCCCACCCCCATCCCACCCCAGAAGACAAGTGAACAACCTTGTGAAGACTTGCAACTTTGACTTACCATCCAAGGAGCTTCACCAAGTGCTGTCAACAGCATCAAGATCTCCTCATAAAAAATGCTGTGGACAGAAGATGGAGACTGATCCCTCCACACTTCTCAAGTGCATAGTCATCAGCAGAGTTTACACTGTCCAGGAGGCAGTCAAGCACAGTGTGGAATGTCACATGGCCAGTACATCCTGTACCAGCCAGTGCAGCAAGGCCAGGCTGCCTTCGCAGTTCTTGCAAAGTACAAGCTGCCAAGGAACTCTGTAAGTGACTACAAACCTGAGGTGCAACAGCTAGCAGTTTTTCACATCCTTCTTTATTCAAGAAAGAGCATGTACAATACATTGCACATAAGAATACCTACCCTTCTCAGCAACATTTGTTTTTAACAAAAATAAGGATTTTTGTTGAAAGCCATCAAGTTCTTCTGCAATCACATTCTGCAGCTTCCAGTACATCCAACAGACTGATTTACAGTTACTTGTAGAGAATGAGCAGCCTTTGGCCAACGTAGCTGCTCACTAGCAATAACCAAAGCAGATGAGACACTCAGTAAGCCAATACACACCTGGACTGTAGTCAGATCATTAGCATACACCTTTGCAGTCAGATGGTTACTCACTTCAGACCTCCCCAATGTTTTAGATGCTACTGTTCAGTGTTTTGCATTTGTGGTGTTTGCTATTTACAAGCAAGCATGCTCCGTGAGCTGTAGGAATTCTTCCAACTTTCTAAAGGAAGTTGGTTGCTAGCACCCAATGCTGTCATTTTTGGCTGCAGACCACAGGGTGGTTACTGAATCCTTTTGGAATGTACCAAAATACAAAAACTGCAGCTTTATTAATTGCTGGTTATCATGCCATTGTTGTATTCCTTCCTTTAGAAAGCATTCCTGACAATGAGGTTAAAGAGTCACGCTTAAAGGTCGATTGCATCTTAGGTATGCATAACTTGTCTTTAAAGACAACTGAGGCAACCAGTTCCTGATCCCTCCCCTTTGTGGAGGAGTGCTTGTTTGCTGCACACAAATACACTGCTAACATGTTACTGCATGGTTAGTATTCAACTGACTGCTTCAAGCAGAAGTTCTAATGCAGTGTACTCCTTCTCCCTCTGCTGACATTTCCCCTCACACAGGGAACAGGTAGCACTGCCAGTGTTTTCCACCAAAGGCACAGTTCCATTGTGGTATTGGTCTTCTCACACTAAACTGGCAGCCTATGAAGCCCCACCTTCCTTCTCCCCCCTTTCTTTTCCCCCAGTAGATACAGAAGCCAGTGCAAGCTTTAGTCCATGCCTTTTTTGTAACCACAACTTCCCTCATGACACCTGAATTCCCTCCTTACAAGTGTTTCAAGTTTATGCTTCTGCACCACCACCTCACCTATCTCCCAGATGATACCACCTTCAGGAATCAGACTGTTTAAATTTGTGTAACCAACATGTGCACAGCCTACCTGCAACTTCCAGTTATTAAGTTACAGATGCTCAGTATCAGCAAGTCTGCATGCCCTTGTATTTTGAAGGGGTCAATAAACTCACGGGTTTCTTTTTCACGTAAAGATCACTCACTTCCCTATTTATTATCCTTCCTACAGTTGGCAGCTTGTTATTAACGGAAAAGTGTTTTTTAAATATGCAGACAGTGATTTTGGTTCACATGCAGTTATTGAAAACAGTATCTGCTAAACAATTGCAATAACTGTTTCAGTAGGGTTTTAAAAAGCATGGTCCCACTCCAGGCGAGAAAAGCTCTTCAGACATTACACTTTCTTCCAGTTACAGATCATCCACATTTGTCAGGCAGCGCTGACAAAAATGTTCCAACTCAAGCACTGGAAAAAAGGAGAACAAGGTCTAAATAAGATGGTTCATTTCAGGGAGAAATTTCAACTTGCAAATAAGCACACTTTTTTCCAAAAGCACCTAAAATCCCATTGAAGATTAATACTTCTCAGAAAGTTTAAATTAAGTCTTCTGGTCTCATCTCAGAAGCCGGATCCGGATTAGGGTTTTCAGCAAGGAATTCAGGTTCGGGATAGGATCATCACAGATGAGACACGGAAGCAGTATGGCAAATGTAAATCTAATACAAGATGTACTTATATATAGCATTTCTGATTGCAATACAAAAATCGGAAATTCTAATATGTCTTTTGACATATTAAATAAAGTAAGCATCTAGAACTTTTAATGTAGATTTAAAGGTTATCTACAGTTAGGCACAGCTACTGGCACTAGGTGCCCTGGGGAACAAGTGGTCTTAAATTCAGTACATGTACTGAATAAGCAAATATACTGACCTACTGTATCAATCAATTATTGTAATAAGCATATCAGCAGCTGTCATAGTACTAACAGTTCCCAACTTGTAAGCACAGAATTACTTGAGACCTGATGATAAAATGCTTGGAAGCTTTTTAATTACATACCTGAACAAACTAAAAGCATTTGTTCATACAGTTTGGGCCACATGCATGCCTGAAAAGAGAAACACACTAGTTTAGAGATTTTCTTCCATCACTCCAAACACAACTTCCTATCTATATAGAATCTCACAGACCAAACTGCATTATTAAACACCTAGTGGGTAAGAATCAGTATTCCACAAGTTCCCTAAAACAATCATGGAAATGTTCTCATACCACAGTATGAGTCTTCTTACATCTCTTGCCTGGCTACTGCTTAACTTGGCTATGAACTGTGACAGGCATCTAACCAGTCAAGTTTGAATCTCCCTGTACCAAAAATCAAAACCTTAATTTCTGAATTAGCTAATATGTGGTTCTCAGCTTGCATCAGAACATTAAGAACTCCAGAAAAAAGCTAAAATCAATCAACAAGCAAGCATTACATAAAAAACTGCATCCAGACTACATTCTTCCAAACACAACTGTCCTGCAAACAATAGGAAAATTGGGTATCTCATTTTGAGCTAGACCCAATAAAACTTTGGTTTAAAACCAAGATAGATTATAAAACACTTCAGTTTTCCATGGTTCTTCACTGATCAGACAGACATACCAATAGTTTTGGGCATCACCACTCCAACATGAACAAGCTTTTTTAATTTAATCATGCCATTAATTGGAATTCATACCTTCAAGAAGCAGCCTTCAAGCATCTCTGCAAAGACACAAATTGCACCAGTTAGTTTTACTAACAAGGCTTTCTACTTCCAACTTCTCTAGATCAGCCATGTCACAGAAATTCCACTTCCTACTTGTAATGCTGCCTGTCTAAACAATTCATCATTTTACACATAGCATTACAGCACAAAAAGTTTCACTCCCACGTTTTGACTTTGCACACCGGGACAAAGCCTGTTCTTCAAAATGAATGCTCTTCAAAGCAAGCTGTTGGTAGTTAGGCAAGATCTTTAAATGATTTATTTTAAAAGGGAATAAAATTATGGGCGTGTAGTGAGACAGCAAGATTAGAACCCATCCTCACAACACTTAGATTTTTAACTTCGTAAGTGAAAGATACACAAGTTCAGATTCCAAGTGCATTTCATTGAAAGGGATTAAGTTCAGGTACCTGTGTAAGAATGAAGGTTAGGGAAACAACTACCAATTCATTTGAGGAACCTTAAATGTTCACCTAAATATTTCTTCCCTGCTCCAAGTATAAGTTTAGACTTAATCTTTCTGGATTAGTTTAGTTCTTAGAGCACTTTTAATACTAGGCAAATGCTTGTTATTTATCAGCTGTAATACAGGATACCTGAAAAAACTGAGAACTAAAATTTCCCCCTTTGCTCTTTCAAGGTGCTACTATTTGCTGGGCAACAGCACATGCCCACATCAAGATGGACACGAGCTGAGTGAGTTTTAATAATACACCGAAGTCTTTATTCACAACATCTAGCTTGTACATGCAAGCAACCATATAAGTAACACTAACTGGGAGATCAAATAACTTTTGAAAGAAAAGTGGTTTCATCTCAGAAGCCAGATCCGTATGAAGTTTTTCATCAGCAAATCAGGTTTGGCAGTTTCATCACAATCCACCACTTTTATAATTAGAATAGTTCTCTAATATCAGAGCCACAACACAAGTAATAGATTTATATATCCCACAAAATAAGCTATGTCTTTCATATGCAGATGCTCTGGAGAGGGAATACTCAGAGCTTTAAGAGGGAATACATTTCAATTTACAAACAGTTCTAGCAGTTCAGCAATAAGAATTACCTGTGTGTTGTACCAGGAAATCCTGTTGTCACCAGGAAATCAATCACAATGAATTTTCCCATTATTCAAAGCTGCTCATACATCATTCTAGAAAGGAATAAAACGATCAGTTACAGCACATCCATTCATTAAGGTAATACACCCATTAGGAATGACCAGGTTTTAGTCTAGTGGATAACCTTCCTCCCAGAGTTTTCACTTTCCAGACACAGCCACCAGTTGCACACATTTGAGTCAGTTAAGTTAAACTGAATACAGACCCTGATATTACTACTTTGCATTTCCAAGAAGTCAGAATAACAAAAAATCTTCAGGTGTTACCCTTTTCTTCACCTAAACACTTTAGTTAAATTTTCAATAAAGTCTATGTTGACAAATAAGTCACGCTGAGGTGATATTTGTCAAATTTAGTATATATATTCAGACATTTTAGCAGCTCCTTCAAGTGCTATTTGAAACAAACTGTTCACCTGCCTTCCCAGTCTGCACATTTCAAAAACAAATCACATCAAATAGCATGTCTGAAATACAGCAATAATTCAACTCTAAAGCTCATGACAAGACTACTAATTTGAGAACACATTTATATTGTTACACCACTTACCATATTAATGTATCCCTGCAAATTATTGAAAAGATAGCTTTCATGAAAATCCACTTCTGTGTACCAAATATTCTTCTAGTTCAGATGGTGCTTCTATAAAGGGCTAGAATTGAAATTAAGCAGAAATTAGTTTAAGCAGAAAACATCTTACAGCATTACTAAATCAGAAGTTTACTAAGTCATAAGTGATAAACAAGCACCAAGAATTCCCTTTTTCATAGTATTATACTATAAGTCTTTAAAACCACTGGAGATTCTGTACATGCTAGAAAAAGTTGGCCTGAATTGATTTTGGACCCTTTTTGCAACTACTAAATATGGCCGTGTGTGGAAACACATTAGCTCCAAAGCACACCCAATACTAGACTGGTAACTTGCACCATCTCTGTAATCAGTACAGTTTAGCATAAGTTAACCAACTGATTTATCACATAGGTCTTCATGCTTATTCAAGTGATACAACAAAAGAAATGATGCTAAGAGCACCTGACCTAAGCACTAGCCTGAGTAAAACAAAAATGACACATACTACTCAGTTTAAACTGTTTTTCCATTTTGTCCCACTTGATAGTCATACGAAGTGCCACCTACTACCCTTTACACATCCTGTACTTTCAAACAAAAAATAGGGAATAACAGTAAGAAATTGAAGCATTTATTGTTTTCATCAGCAGTAGGAAAAAAATTACTTCAAAAGCAACAAAATAAATCAATTACCTTACTGCTTCTGTATAATATATTGGTCATCATTGAAAACTTCCACTTCATACCTAAAAACGAGCAGTAAACAAATTTAATACTTGAAATAAGCAAATACTTAGTACCAGGCTATTAAATAATACACATTTTGAGACTTCTGTCTCAGAAGTAATGAAATGTTAAAAAATTCAGTCTTAGTTTGCAGCTTTTTTTTTTTTTAAAAATCAGCAAGAAAGCCATTTTTAGTAACAAAGGAATGAGGAGTTACATCTGCTTGAAATCCCATATTAAAGGGATCGTAAAAATAGCTGCATCTATCCACTATTTTATCTTTTATCCAGAAGGTTTTTAATGAAAATTTGTTAGTTCAAGATTTTAATCCTTTACGCCTACATAACAATTTCATTTTGTACACAGATAATTCAATTTTAACTACATATCAAGTACTTAAATCTATCAACTCACCCAGCAAAAGAAACAGGAAAGTAAAACATTTGTTTCATCATATATAACCCTTAAAACACGTAGCTTGTAAAACATCTATTACTACACTGTGTAGATTAAATAAATGCAAGAGACTACTAAGCTTTGTTTTGTTTCATATCACCAAAACAATTTAAGCCATAAAACCCTCAAGTTAAGTATATTATTGCACCCAATAATCAAAGCTTACTAACAGCTTATAAAGACACAAGAACTTCACTGTTCAGTAATCTAATAGTGTCTGACTGCGGCTATCACTGGACAAACTAATTCAACACAGAATGAATGAAGCCGACAGCTTTTTATATGAACACAACCACCTCCTAATCTCTGCTTGCAGATAACAGCCTAGAATCCTTGCTGCTTTGTACTGCATTGCCCGCTCTTCCAGAAGGACTACTGCTCAATCACACTGGCATGCCAAGAAGGAAAAAGGTGCCTTTATCACTGAACTTGGGAACAATAACTCCCCAGCATGAACAAGTTAGGGAGCCGACATTACTGCAGTGCCAGGTGCATGGGGAATTTCTGCACATTTCTGAATAAAAGCATACTCATACGTTAAGAAAATGTATATTTATACATTCTCCAGGAAATGCAAAGTTACATCTACACATGAGTTATAACTTGTTAGGGTCTTATGAGGATCTCTAGTGGTCCTTGGGGGTCCTCACCCTCATCAGGGAGAAGCCTGCTTTTCCTTAGTTGATTGTAAACTGCTTGAGGACATTTACTTGCAGTTTGGCAAAGCTTCCACTGTCACATTGCTTAACTGACCAGGGGGTTACACGAACCAAACAGCACGTTCCCTAAGTCATAAGGAACTTATCTAGTCAACCTGGTGTAAAACTTAGCCTTTTGTTATCACCTTAAGCCACGTTTTTTTTTTTTTATAATTTCAATAAATCCCTTTTATTTTCTTCTCATTACCTAGAAAGAAAAGCAAGCATCAATAGTTATGACACTGAAATGATCAGATTGCTCACGTTAAAAAAACAATTAAGTATTTTTGGCAGTATCCATGGATTTTACAATAACTATTTCTGTAACTTGGTATAAGGCAACTCTCTGATTCTGAGTCCTCTGCAACAAATACTGCCGTGACCCATAAGCCTTATTGAAACACCTCTTTCCTATTGTTGCACTTCTGCCAAGCCATTTATCAGCGTTATAGCCGCAGCTTTTAGCATCTCGCAGCACGGGGCTGTGCCACCCCAGGCAGGGGCTGCTCCCCTCCCCAGCCATACGTGTGGCAAGATGGCCCCCGCCGCACACGCGGCCGCCGCCCGCGCGGACTACAAGTCCCGGCACGCCCCGCGCTGCCGCGCTGCCGCCTCCCTCCCTACGGCCGCGCGGGGCACGCCGGGACCTGTAGTCCGCCTCCCCCCCGCAGCAGAGCGCTTCACCCCGTGTCGACCTGGCACCACGGAGCGGGCCCCGCTGCCGTCCGCAGCCCCACAGCGGAGGGAGCCCGCCGGGGAACCGATCACGAACGGGCAAACCCGGCCGCCATCCCCGCCCCGGCCGCACGCCCCTTACCCTCCACCTCCGCCGCGCCGCAGGAAAAGAGCGGGCACGGGCGGCGCGCGCCGCTTTTATAGGCGGGCGGCGGGGCGGGAACGAGGCTGGCCACGCCCCCTCCCCCCCGGCTGGCTGAGGGGCGGGGCTAAGCGGGGACGCGCGGGGCGCGCCCGAGGCGTGCGCGCGCACGGGTGGCGGGGCCGTTGGCCCGCCTCAGGCGCGGGGCTTCCCGTGGCGGGCTTGGGGCCCTGACGGGAGCCGGGGGGGGGGCTGGGGGGGGGGGGGTGCAGCCAGGCGCTCTCACAGGGTTTGTGTGAAACGTGCAGCTAATAAAGGCAGAAGTAACACACATCCACATCCTGAACTCACAATAAAACATTGTTGGCTGAGCTCTTTTGTCTGTTCCGTCAGCGTTTCCCAGGGCTCCGGCCAGTTCGCTTTCTATTCCACAGCGCTGCCCAAGTGCTTCGGCTTCCCTTCGTCTCTAATTAGATCTCTGAAACCTCACCACACGCACACCCTTTCCCTTTTTGGAAATGGCATGCGCTGCGTTACCCACAGGGAGCATTCCAGCTTGTCTCCGCCGAGCAATCTCCTGCCCTGCCCGCAGCAGACGGGAGGTTTTTTGGCACGACTGCTGCTGCTTCACGCGGGTTTCGCTCCAGAGTCCAAGGGTGCTGCTCTGTAGCGAACCCAAGAGCGGGCCTGCCCCAATCCCAACGTGATTTCAGCCATGGGAAGTCGTGCAGTTACATCTCAGACAGAAAATGCTTCGTGTTCAGCTGAGTCAGCCGCCTCTGCTGCTGTGGACATGCTAGAGAAGGGTTGGCAGCAAATATCTGGGCTACAGCGGGCAAAAATGGCAGCCTAAATGGTGTTACAACTGCTCTGAAACCACATCCCAAATTCTAATAGTATTTATGGTGTCCTCCATAATTGTTCATATATAACTTTTTTTTTCTACCCTTTTAATTAGAGGATTTATATATCAATCAACTTTGTAGGGGAATTCAGGAAAAACAAGGATAGGGAAAGAAAAACGCAAAATATTGTTTGGTATTTTGGCAACAAGTCATCAAGAACACGACGAAAATTGGTAGTCCACACATACAGGTGAACTCTCAATAGGAGGGTTTGACCACTGGAAGCTGGTAAGGGATGTCTAGAAAAATGAGTGAAGTGATAAAATCCTTGTCAGTTTTAGTCTTAAAATTATTAAGATGAATAGTATCAGGAAGACTGAATAGTTGACAAAAACACAAAAATGAAATAAGTTTCCTTCTGCAACCCACGGCAGATGACAATCATTTTCTCTCTCTTTTCATTCGTTTCACCTAAAATCTTGCTCTTGACTGCAAGCAGAGTGACCCAAGTGGCAGACTGCAAGCTGCAGCCAGCCAACCCCCTATTGTGGTATAAACTAAGACATGAGGAAAAAGAGTTTTTACATATGTTATTCTCTTGAGGAATGGAATTTCTTTTCAGGGGAAAAATAGATTCAGAATTTAAGCCTGAAGTATGTTACGTAAAACATGAATCAGTACTATTTTAGTTTGATAATAAAAATGCTCTATAAATAATGAGATGACAGAGGGCCTGTCCAGGGTTATGGGACACTGCTCCATATTGTGAGTTTTGCAGAAGAAACATGGGAATGATTTTTCTGAAGGGAACCATGCATCTTGCAATGCTACCCCACACTAGCTTCTGCAATTTGGCAGAAAAAAATCTTCATCTCGGTTAGATTTTAGGGTATAGGTTTACCAGTAGTGCTTGAATGCACATTTTTTTGCAAACTTCTTATCCCCAAAGAAATACGTGTCATATTTCTCAGCTTCACCTAAGTTTACTAACACTGGAAAAGTTTGTGGATCAAGTGAAGTACGGTTTATTAAAAGTTATTCAAAGTTAGGCAATAATTACAATTACAAGGCTGAAAAAAAAAAAAAAAGTTAACCAAAAGAAAATAAAAACATATAATCCCAAATTATATTTTAAAATAATGTTCCTTCTAGCAGTTTTTCTTTCCTCTTCCATCAGACTTCTACACCTTTATATCCCAGATTTGTGGATGCATGTGCAAGCTGTAGAGCAGCACTTGAGCCTCAAACTACTCGGAGATCCAAAGGCTAATCTAAGCCATAACTGTGGTTGCCATCAAGGCTTCATTTATAGATGAATCACTTCTTAGTTTAGCTCACCACACACCTGTGCCTTTATGCACAGTGCAAGCACTGGAAGAAGGGATTGCTGGTTACAAGTTACTGGTGGCATAATGGTTTGCCTCTTTACGGCTTATACAAATTTATGCCTGCCTGAAGGACTGGGGGTCAGGCTACTGCTAGGGCTTTTCAGCTCCAGGTAACTCTCTCCAAGTTATCTTATCCTTACTTTAAATGCTTTCTTCTTCTTCTTGTTCTTTCTCTTTATTTCTTCCTCCCCCAACTTCCCTTCTGGTCCTATTTTAAATCTGTCTTCCTGGATTTTCTCCAATAGCACTGCAGCTTTGATGACTCACGTCTCTTGGTTTAGTTTGAGGTTGCTACCAGTGCATCCTTTGAGATACTGATTTCCCCTCCCCTCTCACCTTCCCAGCAGGAAGTCTATTGTGTGCAGCTTTAATTTCTTCTCAGAACAGACAGTACTCATTGTGAAATCCTCAGCTGACTTTGCCTTATTTCGCATTATGCATCATGAAATGCATGAGTAGTGAAACAATTCGTTTGGCTTTTGCTTTTGGCCCCTTTTTAGTATTTTACAGAGAGCAGAATTGTTTATTTAAACTTCTTCTCAACTATCTCTCTTTGATTTTTTAGTCACCTTACTGTCACAGAAAGTCAAGCATATTTTGTTTATGATAGCTGAGATCATAAAGACATTAGAACAGCTGTACAGGGCCAGGCCAGAGGTCCACCCCCCAGTATCCTGTCCCTGAACGTAGCCAAAAGTAAATACCTAGGGAGGGGGATAGGGACAGAACAAGCACGTAGGGCTCCTTCCCTGAATGTTTGCCCAGCTTCTAGGAAAATCAAACCCAGGCACCTCCTAGAGGGGGGTTATTTTCTTTGTGTGCATGCGAATCTAACAATCCTCAATTAGTTTACCACCCATAAACTTGTCAAGGATTCCCTGGTGTTTTTATAAAAATTTAGCCTCCACAATCTCAATGGCAAGGAGTACCACAGCTTAAGTAGTGTTATGGGAAAATGTAGTTTGCTTTGTACCTGCAGTCTGTTAGCTGGTGGCACAGTTTTAGAAGCAGTTCTGGGCAATTTATCCCTGTGCAGCCACCATCCTCTTTTATTAGTGATTTTATAAAACACCGTAAGAACATCACCACCACCATCCCATACAAACACACACACACAAGAACACACATTCTTCCCCAGCCTGAAGAAACCTCATTTGCTTTATCATTCCTTATAAAGGAATCAATTACTACCTTTGACCTTATTCTCATTGCTCTTTTCTAAATTTCTTATTTCTTTTTGAGATGGTGGTCCCAAAGTGCATTCAAGAAGCAGGCTCAACATGAGGTTACACAGTGGCATGATGATGTTCTCTACTTTATTCCTTGTTCTCTAGCAGTTACTAAATTTGGGGTTTTATTTTTTTTTTTGGCTATTACCATGAATGGAGCTGACATTTCCACAGAACTGTCTGTCATAGCTGCGGGATCTTTAGTAATAAAGCAATTTTAGGTGAGGGGACACACCACAATTAGTTCAAATGTGTCATCTGGGCTCCTCTACAATGCCGTCGGATCCTGTTGAAACTGCAGTGCCTTCTAAAAGTTTGAAGCAACTTCTGTGATGAATGCCTCCTAAGTGATGGGGTGTGAGAAACTCGCCCAGATCTTCAGTACTGAACACAGAAACAAAAAATTAATGCAATTGCCTGGCCTAATATTCTCTGAACAGGCTTTCTGTGCCTCCTGAAATGGAAAAGGGATATGTCATTTAGTTTTGTTAGGCCCTTATACTGGCATGTATTTATGTGGCCTTCCTTTCAGCCTTTTTCAAGTGGTGATTTTCTGCTTTCAAGATAGTGTTCTCGGTTTGTCCTCATATCACTCATGAGGATCTAATGTTCATAGATGTGCCTTTTAGTTTTGTTTTTAACAAGCATCTCCACTTTTAGGCAGCTCCCCTTTCTGGATTTGAGTACAGCTGTGGTATGGTAGATATTTATTTTTTGTTGCTTCTGCAAAGATTCTAAAAAGATTCTAAATATAAAAAGATGAAAAGATTCCAAATGTGCAACGATTGCTCATACAGACACATTTGTTTTATTCTCATAATCTAATCAGTTTATATGTGGCTAAAATTAACAGTAAAGCATAACTAAGATTTATATAACAACAACAACCTCCCCTACACAGGTAGTTACTTAAAAGAAGCAATAAATTTGGTGCATTAAGAGAGCCAGACTAATTAATACTAATAATTTTAATTAGCCTTTTTTTTTTTTTCTTCCCTGTTTGCCAAGATAAGACTATGTGCTGTCTCCAGGAATAATGATTTTAACTACCTTGTTGTTTAACAGAAGTGTTCATTATCTTGAGCTACAAAAACATTTCATTATGCCCAAAAATACTTTAGGGAAATTTTAGTCTGAGTCTTTGTTACTACTTGGGAACATCATCTTTTTCTCACTGTTCAAATCTCTCTTCATGTAATTCTGCATAAACTGCATATTACTAAAAGATAATGGGCTTCATTTAACTGCTGTGTAGCTGCTGCTGCTTATCTTATTGGTTTTTGGCCCCCCTTAAGAGATGAGACAAACAGATGAGAGGAAAGCACTGACGTGGAAATACTGCAGAAAGAAGGGGGAAAAGCAACCTGCTATCTAATATTCTTCTCATAGTTATAGGGCTCAACTATTAATTAATATTTTCAGTCACTTCATTCATTAACAGTGAATAGGGGAAAAACAAATCTTTTCTGTCATACAGC